TGAAAGCGAGAGGAGCAAAAGTTTTCTATTATGATTTTTTTCTTTTTATTTGATAAATGTGCAAAGTTGTTTTAGCAATATTATTCATCTTTTGAATCCTCCCGCTTACTCTCTTATTCGCTTTTGCAACAATATATATATATTTTTTTCTCATTTTCATCATTCATTTTTTTTATGATTTCTTCATATTCATGCATGCCGTACACATGAACATCTATATTAAATGAATTTTTGTTGATGATAATGCAATATTCAGTTTTTCTTGAACATATCTATAAATGTATTATATCGATGATAAATTGATGCATGATGTTTTATTACTTGTTATCATACTGCTTATAAATGTTGTAAACGTCATTCATATCTATCTTTCTATCTATTGAGTATGTACGTTCTCTCACTCTCTTCCATATGAATCTCCATGAAATTGCATATATAAATTTATGATATACACACAATTTACATCGAAATGATGTCAACATTATTCTGTTGTTGATATTTAATGGTAATGGTGCAAAAGTTTATGTGTATGGAGGTAAAAGTGCATTGCTAAATTAAGTTGTCAAACTAATGAAATGTTTACCTTGGCATGATTGTGTGAAATTTGCATTTGTATACATATCAACATCATCGTGCATAAGAAAACATTTTCATTGCTTATCGGAAATATAAATGCATAAATTTTATATTCACATTACAGACTCATGACTTATGTTGTATTAGCATACCACCAACTTACAATGTATAAGGATTATTTCATAAAAAAACATATACATGCTACATTTTCTTACTATCTTGTCATGAACTATAAAAACTTTACACATTATAACATACGATTAATGCTTAGAGAAATCAGAAAATGATTTTTTGATTTCTTCATTTGCCACCTTTACACTTTGATTTATCTTTCAAGAACGGATTTTATGGTTTCTGATGAAAATGTTTGAGCACGTTTAAGGTTGAGGATTTTTAAGAAATGATTTTCTTGCGCTAGTTCTTATTTTATGCTTAATCTTGGGAGTCTAATACCAAAAGTGTGATGAAACTTACTTGTGACTTTAAAATTTTAAATTTAGATTAGGGATCGTTCATAAATCAAGTCTAACATTAAGGGATACGCTGCAAATTCATTGGTAGGCTAAGCAGCTCTGAATTTTATTTAAAAAATATTTTTGAAAAATTAAATTTATTGTCCTGTTTCATGGACGTCATTTATAAAGAGGGCCTTTAAGTGTCACATAATAACAGATTCACTCATCTTTTAAATGAGCCAACGATAATTTCCATATAAACTGGTTTAAATTAACTCAACCCTTGTTAATAAAGCTAATCCGCTTGAAATCTAAAACTTTTCAATCTCAAAAATTTCATAATTTTAAAATAAACCGAATTAAGAAGCTTTTAATAAAGAAGTTGAAGCCTTGGCTTTTGAAAATTTTCATGAAAAAATCTAAGCATGAATAGCTCTTAAAATTTTCATTTTTATTATTAAATTATTTCATGAATAAGAGTCACGATACTTTTAAAATTTAAAATGCAGAGCAAAAAAAAGTGCTGCCGAATTCATTACAAAGTCGTACGAGCATGCTTTCATTTTTCAAGAGCAAAAATAGAATAATCTAAAGTTGTAGGAGAAAAGGAAGTAATTTTCTTATAAGATTCCTTAGCATCACGTTCACACGAAATGTTTCCTACTGAGAAAAAGGCAGAAGGTCGAATTTCTTCATCCATGCTTTCGTCTTGTTTCATGCCGAAAATCTTATTGCTCTTAAATTAATTGGAATTTGAATGCTCTTTCATCAAAAATTGAAAGCTGATGGTAGCGACGTGATTCTGACTCCCTTAAGTGGATTTCTAGAATTTAAGGGAATATTCAATTTTCATCTTTACTTCTTTTGAGCTTTTCTATGGAAAAGTCTGAAGCGAAAAACAATTTTCCTAAAACAATAAAAAAAAAGTTTCAAGTTATTTTTTACATTGCACTTTGATAAGTAAATTTCATGCATCAATTGTATTTTCATCTGCAAGAATTTACAATACTATTGTACAGAACTGAATGATATAGACCAGTTTTCCCTCTCTTCACAACTTTTTGTTTGCAATTCAAATTGAAGTTACTACAATAAAGAACATTCAGCAAGTTTTTAAAAATAATTTTTTTTGTTGTTTTCAGCAGTGCTGAAGTAAAAACTTTCAAGAGAGAACAAAGAAAAGTTTCAATAAAACTTCGGGAATCATTTTCAAGGAAAGAGTTAAAGAGAAGAGTTTTGAATACGTGCACAATGTACATCAACAGAAGTGCAATGATAAAAATAAAAATGTATATCTATACATACAAAAAAGGATGAAAAACAGTAAAGAAAAAAAAAAATTCAACAAAACTATTTTGCACATTCACAAATAATTTATAAATTCATATTATGCATAGAAGAAAAGGAAGAAAAAAATTATATCTGTTATAGTTCAACTCCTTTTTCATGTATTTTGTTTTTGTTTAACAACTTTTATTCATATAAGAGGAATGAAATAAGCTCCTCGAATTATTTTTTGTTCTCCTTCCACTACTTTATTCAATAGTATTTTAACCTGTTTGTAAATGATGAATTCTTTTGGTTCTGTTTTGTCTATAGATATAAAGACTTGGTTTTCTTGAAGTTTAAATTATTGTGAATCTTGAATGTTTTTATAAAGTTTTAAGGATTACAAAAATAATCTTACAATTTGTTTATTCATATTGTATATATCCTTATAACTGCTATATATGTGTACACTATTGTAAAACAATTTGGGTTCAATGGGAATCAAACCCACGACCTCAAAAGAGGCTATCTCTAACCACTCGATAAAAGATCTCTGTCAATATGCCACCGAGGTACTTATTTCACTTTGACTATCCGTCATACACATATAACCAGTTCAACACGAGCCCTATGCTCAAGCTTATCTATTACAAATATGCATTTCAAGCCATATCCACATATACTTTACTTTTGGATTGTCAATCGATAAAAATAATTTAATTTTGCTTCCATAAGTTCCCCAATATCTGCAAGTTTCTTACTATGACCAATGTGCTCAAAATAAGCTTAAGTCTCTCTCTGATGACATCAATCCGAATTTTTTATAAAAATAAATAAAATAATTAAGCAATGAGTCATCTCAAGTCATGCAAAATATTTACAATTTCATAAAAGTAATTCTAATTACGAGATTTATTGATGCTAAAAGGCGCTAAAGTTTTTGTTGAGCATAAAAAAAGTTTTATTTCTTTTATTTGTTTCAAAAAGCATAAAATTTATGCTGTTGTTTATTAAATATGAAGAGCAACCGCATATTAAATAAATAGCTTCTTATATGCTTCTGCAAATTTGCTTTAAGAAAAAAAAGGAATCCTCGTATCATGCACTTGTACGATAAAACTAAACAAACATTTAGGGATGTTTTGCAAGATTGTATTGTGTATTTAAGAAAAATTATCAAAAAATAAAAGAGAATTAAATGGATAGTTTGGAAGAAATGTTTGTAATTGCTTAGAAAATGACAATTGAATGCAATTTGAAGAAAATTTTAATGTTGACTTGATATCAAAAACAGACAGTCTTTTAAATTGCTATGTTTTGCATTATTTCTTAGAAATTGACCAGTGCCAAAACCTTGATAAAACTTGGATAAAACCGTAAATAATAAATTCAATTTAAGCTAATATTCCTTCAAGGTCTAAAAAAATTATGAAAATTGATATTTTATTTTCTTAAAGTATTAAATAACATGAAAATGTTCATCTAGACTTTGCAGACAATAATCAACATTGAATACAATTTAGGTCCAAATTTTTCTTTAAAGTTTATCAGAAAATGACAAAAATGAAACAAGAATTGGAAAAATATATTAATTTTGAAGTTTTGATTTCACATTTTCTTCAATGTCATAGCTTTTTTTTGAACGTTAATGCTCTGTACAGTAAACAACCATTAGAATAAAATTATATTAAATTAATCAAACAAATTAGAAAGCAAATTTTACAAAAAAAAAACAAAAATCGCTTCGAAAATGCAAGAAAACCATAAAATTTTATATTCAGCATAATCTAATTCAATAAATGGTTCCAAATATATTTTTTTTATAGTAATTGGTATCAGATCATCAGAAAATGATGCTTTTAAATTGACTTACTGATATCAAATGGTAATAAAAATAAATCTAGATTGAACATGCAAAGGCAATCGGATAGTGAGTTTAACGTCAAGTTCATAAATTTTAATGGCGTTGAAATGCATAAAAGCATAAAAAGCTGATTCAATTCTTTTTTTTTTTGGGTTTTTTTATTTCTATCCATCTCATTCTCTAAAGCCACCCATCAAACTTTGTTCAGTGAGTTTTTTCTTGTTCTTCCTTTTTCTCAGTTTTTATGATCCAACACTGATGTACGATTAAGTTGGAGTCTTATGAGATGAATGTATGAAAACAAGGGAGAAATGAAAATAAAAAGTTTTAATGATTTTTCTTGTTTTCTAATTACAAGCATAATAATGCGTCACATCCAATATGAAATAAAAATAATATACAACATTAATAGATAATGACGAAGAAGAAGTAGAAGAACAATGGAAATCTATGTAGAAATTTATGTGTGCGATTAAACAGTTAATATGAACAGTTTCTCTAGCGAAGCATATAAAAATAAACCCTACGACTGACGGCATTGTGTCGTGATAGAAAATTAGAATGAAATGGCTATAACGACTAATATCAGATTGTTATTATGGTGAGTAATATAACTTCTCATTTAATGACCAAATAGGTATTTAGGCATTATGAAAGAACAACGATATCGTGAATTATATTATGAGTAAGACCAGATTCAGATTTATGGTTTTAGGGCGCATTTAGGAATCATAATAGATTTCAAGTGGAAAACTACTTGGAAGTTCTTGACACGTGAAGTGATTCCCCTTGTGATTTCTCAATTTTAATGATAATAAAAGTAGGGATTCACTGATTTAAGCATCAAAGTCAGGAGTTCCCCAATTTAAGTAAACAATTTCAGAGATAACAGAAGCCATAGAACCGGGGCTTCCTTTTTTCATGCAAATAATCGGTGCTTTCCGAATGTAGAAATAGACTTTTTCCATCCTAATAGAGCAACTATTGTAATTCATTGGCAAGTCATTACAAATATGTGTAACTATAAATATATATTTAATGGAATTGATAATAATTTTATTAGCGTTTTAGGCAAAGTGCCGACAATAAAACATTTATATGTGGGGGATGAAAGGAGTAATTAACATTTTGTGGAATGAGAAAAGTATAAACCATAAAATGATATATAATTTTATAATGAACGACATGCTTCATGTGCATAAAAAAAGTTTTTGGTTCTCTTTGAAATTTTTGGAGCTTTTTAAAAAGTACAAAACAAAATTTACAGCTTATTTTAAGTTACATATGGTAAGGAAAAATAACTTTTCCTTTATCTATGCGATTCACCGTATTAATATTCAACAAGCCACAAATGAGTTTATACTATGGTATCAACCGAAAGTTTATTTATTTACTTTTTGATTTAATAAAAAAAGAATCCTCATTTTTTGCAGCTTGTGAATGAGAAGTTAAAATTTTATTTTAATGCTTACCACAGAAAATAATCAAAAAAGCAAACTCAATGAAATGTTTGTGTTGGGAATCAAAAGAAAAAGTTTTACATCCAAGTTGTTTTTGTACTCAAAAATTTGATACTCTTTTACATATTATAATCTGCTTTTTACAAACATCTATTCAACATCTGTAATCTACGATCATTTTAGGTACGAGTGGTTCATTCATGAAGACTAAAATTAATCATGTTGAAAAATTTGGTCAATTTTGACATGATCCTAGTAAAATTAAAGTTGATTTGGTTGCTCTTTAACTATTCTTGCAGTGCATATCTCGTATGGTAATTAAAGCATTGGCTTATTTGGGTTCAAATTCAGTTAAATCATTATCAAATTTTGGAAAAAATAGTAAAGGTTAAATTCTAATAACAACACTGTGTAGGGCCCAAGTAGGGCCCAGCCTTTCAGATGGGGGCACTGCCATTCAATGTTTAAAGAATCTACTGTACCACACCCTTTAGATCTCCAATTTATGGTGGGATCCGAACCAAGGGTGTGGTACTGATGAAATGATCAAAAATGATCAAAATTGATCAAAAATGATCAAATATGATCAAAATGTAATTCTTCAGTGCCACACCCTAATCCGAACCACTTATATACTCTGCATTTTGCAAAGATCATAAGACCTGATGTACCCTGCAATGTACCTAGTCACAATTCGTGTGCCCAAGATGCCTTTAAGGCAGTCATCCAGATGCTAGTATATCCTTGTAAACCTAGCAAAGGAGGCACATTCTGTGCTCAAGACATCAATACTACACCCAACACACGAGCTGAGCTTCGTAACTAGAACGTTTGTATTTTATTTTGTATCCATACATTTTTTGGTTTTTTTTTTGCTCTGACTTGATTCAAATATTATTCATTTGATGCGGCATTTGAGGTGTAGAAACAAAAATCGGATTGAAATGAATGCTTTAATGCTACTTAAAACTTTGAAAACTCAAGTGCTTTTTGCTCCTAAACTGAAATGTATTTAAGCATGCTTTTATTACACATAAGGGAATAAGCTGAAATAATTTTCACAGTAAATCAATTTTGAGAAGATGATGATAGAATGTGATGGGGATCTGAACACATGGGAAGAATAAAAGCGGTACGTATTTAAACTTGTGTAGACTCTTGATGAAGCATGTTGAAAGAATTTAGTAACTTGCTTTATAGACATTTTGATTTATTGCTTGACAAATTTTTAATATTTCTCATTCAAGCTTTATGATCTGTTTTTATTGAGTTTATGGGGAATTTACAAGAAGAAATAAAATGTTTCTCATCATAAACATTAAACATATTTAATATATTGCTTAGGGTCCTTAAATTGCTTTTTATTAACCTAAAATGTATTCACATTAGTATCATTAGAATTCCAAAAAGTCATAAAATTAAATCAGTGTTGAAATGACAGACGTCTTCCATAGACAAAGACTACAGAATCTTTAAAAGATTTTATCTTTATGAAGAATTTATCTTCTACAGATTTCTGTCTGCATGTAGATTAAAAAAAGTGTCTACATGCAGAATCTGTCTTCCAAAGAATTCTGTCTTCCACAGATTTCTGTCTGCATGTAGATCAAAAAAAGTGTCTACATGCAGATTCTGTCTTCCAAAGATTTCTGTCTTCCACAGGGTTTGTCTGCATGCAGATTATGATATTTTAATGAAAAAGTGTGGTTTTACAATAAATTAACAATAATAAGTACTTTTAACGGTCAAATCATTTTCAAATTTTCCCGATTACCTCGAAATGCAAATATTTTCTTACAATTTGTAGGCAACGGTTTACAGAGTTCGTAAAAATGTACGAATTGGACTGACAGAGAAGCTTAATTTTAATCAAATATAAAACACTAATTCAAAATATTTTTTTCTTTTCATGAATCTGATGACAAATGTGGCGAATGGTGATTTTGTGAATGTGGATAAATTGTGTGTATGTTACTGAAAATATCCATTTTTAGTGCATTTTTGAAACTTATTTCAAAAAGGTAGCTTATTGATTGAGATAGAAGCAACCAGACATCGTAGCCTTCGACGTTTTCTCAGTTCTATCGTTTTATTGGCGTATCGAATACTTAATAAAAAGCGTAACTCAGTGTATTTATGCTATTATTAAGCATTTTTCTGACAACGAGAAAATCTAAATGAAAAAACCCTTTTTATTAATTTTAAAAGCCCGTAAATGTTTGATCATTTTTTTATAAAAGAGACTTGTCAGAGGAAGTGAAGAAGAATCCACATTAATTTGCAAAATTAATTTCGTTGTTTTGTTTTGTATCCTAAATCTTTCTATGTGTTTTTGATTTAAAAATATTTATTAAATATCAAAATATAATAATCTGCATGCAGACAAACCCTGTGGAAGACAGAAATCTTTGGAAGACAGAATCTGCATGTAGACACTTTTTTTGATCTACATGCAGACAGAAATCTGTGGAAGACAGAATTCTTTGGAAGATAGATTCTGCATGTAGACACTTTTTTTGATCTACATGCAGACAGAAATCTGTGGAAGACAGAATTCTTTGGAAGATAGATTCTTCATGTAGATACTTTTTTTAATCTACATGCAGACAGAAATCTGCAGAAGATAAATTCTTCATATAGAAAGTGTCTTTTTGCAGAAGTATAGGCAGATTTCAACACTGAATTAAATTGAAAATATGACTTACTCAGTGAGCTATAAACTTCCGAGCCTGAATCGAATTTGAAATTTACTATCAAACATTAAGCAGTAATCTAATACAAGTGCATGACTAGTTGAATTTCAACTCTCATTTTTTAATTGTCTAAATACCATTGTCCATCCTTAGCATGGAAGTCAAGAAACAAAATATTATTATTAAAGAGATTTGTAAGATATAATCATAACATGTGTGTTTACAAATTTGATTGCTTAAATGTCATTAATTATTCGGTCGCAAATTTTGTGAGAAAATGTAGACATTAAAATGCGGTTTAAATGCCATTCAGCAGATTTAATTTAAATGTTCAAGAGATTAAAGATTAATCAATTTAAACAGATTTTACTTGTCTAAACCATCAAAATGTAAATTAATCTGCTTACCTTTCATTCATTTTCTTGTCATGAATTTTACTTTATTTCTTGCAAACCAGCATTTTGTTTCATGTGCTAAGTTGTTGTGGATTTTAAAGTAGTCATTTACATGTTGATGTGTTACACAATTCATTAATCATTTTAACTAAAGGGATATTGGATTTAAAATGTTTTCTTGAATTCCTTGTTGCTGTATTATTTATTTTAAATCAGTTCAAATAAAATATCTATAGCCGGAATTATTTTACTTCAAATTTGTTTCCACTTGTTACTTAAAAATACAAATAGGTTTGAGACATCAATTTATCATTCGATTTATTATAAAGTCACTTTTATTTCACAACATTTTTGAAATTTTACGTCAAAAACCATTAAAAAATTCATCAAACTTAAATCGGGTTTTATTTTTATGCCTTAAAATTTAGTAATTATTTTTTTATTTCGTTAAAAACTAATTTGGAGAAAAATGAAGCATTAAGGCTTTATGCCTTTGTTTTTAAAGTCACATCGTCTTATAAAAGATCTTAAGAACTTAAAATTATCTATTAAGCTAGTAAATAAATTTATCAATCGACTGACAAAGGTCACAGTTTCAGCAGTGATGTTGCTTTTTTGAAGAATCCAAGTTAAAAGAGTATCAAGCAAATTTCTTATCTACCAATTGTTTTCGAACATCACTTCAATGAAACCGATGTGGATATAAAAAAAATCTATAAAAATTATAATCGAAAACTAATTCATCATGCTGTAAAAAGTCCATTATGGAAATGAAGAAGTGAATAGTAAAAAGCAGAAGGAGGATAAAAAAATGCTGTCGCATTTAAAAAACCATACAAAACTTTAATTACAACAAGAAATTCAGTTCTTCTAATTCCCTTTGACAGAACCGTAAAATTAAAATGAATAACCACTGAATGCCAAGTTTCTATTTTTCTGGTCGAAAAATTTCTTCAATACGCTAGCTGATGGAACTAAAACACCAGCACAAATCAGTGATTGCAATGTATAGGAAGAAACAAACTATTTTTCAAAATCGGAACATATTTATGTTATTTATTGCATAGCTTCAAATTGTCTTGTCTTTAAAGAAAAAGTAGTTTGTAACGTGACCGCAGACTCTGTTTGATAATTGCAATGGAAATTTAGGTCATGTTTAAATATTGTAATCGCATAATAATAATTCCAATAAGTAATATCTCATTAAATGTAGAAAAAGAACTTGTAAAAGAGATTTGAAAAATTACTGGGTTTAGCTGATGAAAATTGTTATTACTATTAATTTTGAGTTGTTGCTCTTGCTATTGCTTCTCGTTTATTTGATTGCTTGAATACAAATTGATCAAATATTGAGCAAATAATCGAAAATTGTGATTACTCATTGAACACATTGAGTACAATAATTTTTAAGAAAGAAAGAAAAGAAGAAGAGGAAAAAAAATGAATTTAATGCAGAGAATTCTCTAATGATCC